ACCCAGTGCAACAGGTTAGGACAAAATGGACAAGTATTCATACCCATAAATCTGAGTCCACAAAATAAAAGAGTTATAATCGTATCTAAATACTTCCATATAAGTGTATTTACTTTTAGCATGTTTATGTCACAGAGATGTATTACAAAATAAGTGGGGAAAATTACTTTATGTTTCAAAAATGACATGTAAAGTTTAGAAGAATTCAGAATATGGTAAAAATGCCAAAGCTAGTAATCTATAAGCTATATTGCCCCAAGAGATTGGAAGTATTTATGAAGTTAAAACAAGTACTTTTAAAGTGGCAAATTAGGTAGTAGAGTTATTACTGTCAATACTTGAAAATTGCACAGTAAAAATGAAGCAGATAGAAAGGCCGCACATGGGCAAATGTTTCCTATCAAAAACCCTAGTCCTGTTAAATAAATGAATGGGACTTCAGATTCATGAAAGTTTAACAATAGCAAAGCTAGACACATACACATAGGCACACATCACAATATAATATTTGTAACAATTTACATGTCCTCTAAAAATTAAGAGCTTTACAAATAATAGTAAGAATTTAAAGACTCCTGATGTCTAAAATGATTATAAAGCTAGTTAATATTTTTGATGTTAAATATTCCCTAACAAAGATAGTTATAACTGTCAATATATTTCTACTGCAACCTAGTGAAGAGGGGATAGTTACAATGCGACTTTTTCATTGAATGCAGCAGTTATGGCTGACATTCTTTTTTTCTATTTTGTTTTGTTTGTTTGTTGAGGCAAGTTCTCACTCTGTGCCCAGGCTGGAGTGCAGTGGCGTGCAATCTTGACTCACTGGAGCCTACACCCCCTGGGTTCAAGACATCCTCTCACTTCAGCCTCCCAAGTAGCTGGGGCCATAGGTGTGTGCCACCATGTTCGGCTCATTTTTTGTACTTTTTGTAGAGATGGGGTTTCACCATGTTGGCCAGGTCGGTCTCAAACTCCTGGGCTTTAGCCTCCCAAAGTGCTGGGATTACAGGCATGAACCACCGTGCCCAGCCATGTTTGACACTATTTCAACGGGTTAGGTAAAGAGCAAGAAAAAGGAACTTTATTGATGTTTAACCGGTATACAAAAAAGTGCACATAGAGATGTAACAACTTAATAAATATTGGCATAGGTATAATCGGAAAACCATCACCACAATCAAGACAATGAATGTATCATACCCCAGAAAGTCTTCTCATGCCGCTAGGTAATTCCTCTCTCCCATCCCTCTGTACCTTCCCATCTTTAGACAACTGATTGATCTGTTTTTTGTCATTATAGGTTACATTACATTTTCTATAAATAAAATCACACAGTATGTCCTCCCTCCCCAAGTTTCTGGCTTCTTTTACTCGGCATAATTATTTTGAGAGTCAACTCTGTTGCTGCATGTATTAATAGTTCATTCCTTTCTACTGCTGAATAGTTATTTCATTTATAAATATACCACATTATGTTTATGCATTCACATGCTTTTTTATTTTGTTTTTGGAGACAGGGCCTCACTCTGTTGCCCAGTCTCAAATTCCTGGGCTCAAGGGATCCTCCTCCTGAACCTCCCAAGTAGCTAGGACTACAGGCCCATGCCACCACTCCAGTCTGTTTTTTTAAATGTATTTTTTTTTTGTAGAGACGAGGTCTCCCTATGTTGCCCAGACTGATCTCAAACTCCTAGCCTCAACAATCCTCCCAGCTCAGCCTCCCAAATCACCGGGATTACACCACACCTGGCCCCCATTCACATGTAGATGGACATTTAGGTTGTTTCCAGTTTGGGGCTATTACAAATAAAGATATTATGGACATTTGTGGACAAATCTAAGTATTAACATATCCTTTCATTTATCATGGGTAAAGAACTAGGAGTGAAATGACCGAGTAACATACTAGGGATGTGTTTAATTCTTTAAGAAACTGCCAAATGATTTTCCAAATAGTTTGTACGATCTAACATTCCCACCAACAGTGTATGAGACTTCCAGTTCCTCTACACTCTCCCCAACCCTTGGTATGATGGCTCTTTAAATTGTGGTCTTGACAATAGGTGTGTAGCAGTTAATTCATTATGGTTTTAATTTACACTTTCTTAAAATGTATAATGACATTGAACATCATTTTTATGTACTCATTTGCCTTCTTTGTATCTTCTTTGGCCAACTGTCTATTTTAATCTTTTTCCCATTTTTAAGAAATTAAGTTTTCCTATTGAGTTTTGAAGAATTCTTTAAATATTCTCTATGTAAGTCCTCCATCAGATCTGCAAACTTTGTCCAAGTCTGAAGCTTGTCTCTTTATTTCCCTAGCAGTGTCTTCGAAGAGCACACAATCTTAATTTTAATTAAGTGCAATTTATGAATTTGTTCTTTTATGAATAACAAATTTATCATTTGTACTTAATCTAAATTATATTGGTGTTACATTTAAGAACTCTTGTCTAACACAGGGTAACAATTTGTTTCTCTCAGATGATTTATAGTTTTAGGTATTACATTTAGGCCTATGAACCATTTCTCTGGTATTCTGCCTTGCAACATCTACTTACCTTGCCTTTCTAAACTCCTCCATCTCCCTACTCAGAGACTGACAGGCACGGCCTGGGTTCCCCCATACTATGGCCTCTAAAGTATTGCCAAGCAGTACCCTGGACAAACTGTAGAGCTCATCTAGCTTGCTTCCCATCTCTCCTGGGTCACTGCCCAGTCACTGTGGCAGTATAACTCTGACCCTGCTGGTCATGTTTTCCTTATTACTTCCATGCTTATTCCGTGCGGTCAGCTGAACTAGGCATGGGGTTAGCCATGACGTCAGCTATGAATTACAAAGAAAGGCGCATGAGAGAGAGAGATGTAACTATATAGAAATAGAGAATCACATGAGGCTGGAGTGTTGTGTTTATGGCCTAAGCCTGGAAGGTCAAGTAAACTACAGACTCTTAAGTTAACAGGACAATTCACTTTGTGAGCAAAGTGACTTACCTTTCTGAAGGACATCAGCTACTCTGGCTGTAGAATGGAGATACTGATGCCAACTTTACAGAGCTGTGTGAAGATTGTAAGAAATAATGGTAAATGTTTTAGTACAGTGCACATAGAAAAACCTTGGCAAATACTAACAATTATTTTATTATTACATACGCCATCCACATCTAGGCCTGCAGCTGCCCTTAATAATAGAAAGGCAGAGTGGAACTTAGTTTTTGATACATTTAGCTAACTATAGCTTGCCCTGGCAAAAATGGACTCCTCACCCTTCAGTGCCCAGTGGCCACCAGCATGGGCTGGCTTCATTTACTGTCCACTTTACTGTCCAATTTAAACTTTTCTTGATGTCTTCAGGCCAAATGTATAGATTTATAAATCTATAGATATCTAGATAATATGATCCATATGTCATTTTAATATATATGATCTAGATATCTAGATATATCATTATATATAAATATATTACCATATGGAGCTGTTCTTAGGGACAGTTGAGTAGTAACTCCTAACCAACACTAGTGTGGTCCATTGAGTGTCCATTTTAGGCTTACCACTGTATTAAGTATTATTGTCCCCATCTAACAAGTAAGTGCCAAAGGCCTACACTTTGAACTACACTCAGGATTCCGTATCTGTTCTGCTTCCCCTTCCCTTATTATCAGCTGTCGAACTCATCAAAACTGCCATGGGCCTTCCTCTGGTTCTCAACCTAGGACACACATTAGAATCATTGGAGATCCTTTAAAAAATAACAATGCCCAGACCCACCCACTTCTAGTTAATTATGATACACAACATGAGTAAAAACAAAAACAAAACACTGCTAGACCCAACTACTATTAACTGTGGGCTAATAAATAATGAAAATGTATGTAACAGGCCCTGAGAGAATGCCTGAAGACCTCTCCTTCAAAGCATATTTTATCAATTATTTTGCCCAGAGTGTTCCCTCTCTCTTCTTCCTCCCTCCTTCTTCTGTTTTTAATTGTTCACTCTGGCTTCTCTTTCTCTTCTTCCTTCCTCCCCCACTGTCCCTTCCTTCTTCTATTTCTTTAATTGTTCACTTCTGACTTCACAAGACTGGGACTGTAAGAAGACTATTAAATGAAGAGTTTGTGGCTCTGACAATTGGTTCATTGTAATGGACATTGTAGTTGCTTCACCAACACCTTCTCCCTCTTCTCTTGGCAAGTTATCTTGACTTTCAGATGCATATCCTCTGCCTCCAATCCAGACCCATTTCTAAGCCTGCGTGCGGCACATGGATCAGGCCTAAGGTAATCTCCAGACCCTGCTGGAGTTAGTGGTTCACAGATAGAAAAGTAGTAGCCCAAAAGAGGCACATGTGGCCTATGGAAAAAAGTTGTTCTCTTCTGAGTACATTTCTGGAAGCAGCCCCAACCTCAACCCTAGACTCAATAGCTCTAGGAGTTGCTGGAAGTCATCTTGTGGCCACATGGGGTAGCCTGCTGTAGAATGAAGCTTGTTCCAGAGAAAGCAGAAATGAGAGATGCAAAGAATCAGTCTTTCATGACATCTCTGATTTACTGAATTAGACCAATCCTGAAACCTACTATGCTTCTGGCAGTGAAATGAGCCAATAAATTCCCTTTAATGTTTAAGCTGGTTTGAGATGGGTTTTCCACTACTTGCAACCAGATGCATCCTGAAAGATCCACAGCACATTTTATGAGGAAGGGAATACCTGTTTTTTAAAAATTGAATTACATTTGGAAAAGCAGAGTATTATAAACAACATATTTAAGTTTTAAATACTTTTTGCTGTCATATTTAGCAGCTATTACCATACTAGAACTGCTATTTGGCTTCAGGTTGTTTTTTTAAGAAATGTGGCAAGCTGTGTCAGTCGGTTTATTCTGAAATTAGAATGGGAAGCTTCAGTATGCGGTAATTGCTATCCTATAGAAGGCCATTAGTATGGGGTTAATACCAGATGAACAAGAAAGATAACATCAGGCAAATAAAACACACAGTAGAACAATAATAGCACAATGGTTTTATTGATGGCAGAAGAAATTCTTCCTTTCACTTGTAAAAGGTATTTGCTTTATTTAACTCAGTATCCTTCCCCATTCTTTGTGTGAGTTGAATGTTTTTTCCACCCTAAAATCTGCTTTTTTCTTTCTTCAAATAATAACATCCACCACAGGTGCTACTTATTCTGAAGAGAAAGTGGAAGGTCAACAGGTTTCAACCAGGTTGTTTCAGTCACCGGCTCGTTTCTTCACAAAGACTCTACTTTAAAAAGAAAGGAAGAAAATAAAATTGAAGCCTCAAATTAACTTTTCCATACTTTGTCAAGATACATTTCTGGGGAAACGTATATGTAAATGTGAAGTGTTTGTATAAATATAAATAGATCTTGACTAGAATAAATTTTGGATACTGCTAATTTGTGAAACATAATTTTTATAAAGCAATATAAAATAGAAAACCAAAATATTTTGAAAATAAACTTTTATTTTAGAATTTGTTAAAGTACATCTCTGCCACTGCTATACCCTTTATTGCTGGCATTTGTTTCAGGAATTTGGATTAACTGGATTGTTTGTAACAGAGGATTACCAAAAACAGATGCAGTCTGCCAATGAACCACGTCTTTCCCTATCCTAATCGCCTCCGGTTCTTCTGTGAACACCTCTGAATTGAGTTGCTCCACACAGGTGATTTACTTGGGTCTGTCACTTCCCCCTGCCTGCTCCCCACATTTATTAGGCACCACTCTAGTTAAAACCACTTTGGGTGGTGACGAGAGAAAGAGGTGAGATAAATGGTGAGAGAAGAATTGTTTGCTTCAGGCCTATTTTGTAGCCTCATACATGACAGTGTGCTTGGGCAAGGACTAGTGGAGTTCCTGTGGCTGCATACAAACAGCTCCAGCCTGTAAGTCTTCAAAAGTAAAGTCTCCTGCTTAGAAAATAAAGAGCATAGGATACTATAATTCTCACCTGCTGCCTGTTCCTCTGAGATGACGGAGTTCTAATAGTTACCTTTATAGTGATCATTTTCCTGACATTGATGCTGGACCAGATTGTCAAAAAAATTCAACATTTAAAAATACATCTTTTACTAGTTAAAAATGGTGTTAAAAACTGGGTCTTTGAAAATAAGCTTACAGTACCTATGCAGTAGTCTATGCTTAGCTATCGGTTTTAAGGTTTCTGACTAATATGTGAAACTGTGAATACCATTCTTTCATCAAACAAAGAAGAAACTAGAAGTTCCAAGTGAGTCAACATTTATTTAACTGCTTTACACATTAAGCCTTGACCTCTATGGCGGCGGGAGCTTCCTGCTGATCTGTCTTACAAACGGTTCCTACACAGGTATCTGCCATCTCTCTTTTCATGGCAGGACATGCAACTCTGGCCAATGTTTGAGTGGACCAGTGCAATAGCTTCTTAGGTTCTTTCCCTCCTGGTGCTATAATCCATCCTATACCCAGCTACAGTATTTCCTAAGTTCAATTTTGATCATATCACTCTCTGAATCAGAAGTTCACGATAGCACCAAACACAACGAATTCAAACTCTTATGTATCTGAAGCCATGCTGTTTTCACCACCGAAAAATATTTTTAACACCCATTGTTTTGGTTCATATTCTCTATCGTAGTCACTGAGAGTCACTTGGTATGTACTCTGGTTCCCCATTTAAACTTTTCCTTTGCCTATACAGTGTCTTCAGAGGACTCCACCCTACCAGGACTGTGCAGCTTAAACTTCATGTCTAAGGGCTGCTCCTACTAATCAGTATCTGGTTCCTAGGGCTCCACTCAAGTCAGAAACCTCTCCAAACACACAAAGTTTTGGTTGGACTAAAGAACTGTGTATAATTTCTCTATTTTATATCTGCTTATATTTCCAAGCTGTCTGTAACAGTTATGACAGTGTCCGGCAACTAGAAGTCTGGAATTTTGGGGTCTGTCTCCTCTAAAGTCTCAGATCTGACTTGTCACCACTTTTTCTCAGACTTGGGACTATTTTTCCACATTGCTCCCTGAGACTTCCTCTCACCTAGCCCTGATTCCAAAGCCCTGCTTTGTTAGTCGTTGAAGCTGTCCTTAATATCGGGCTCAAGTGGAATCTAATTCTCTTGCCACAATGAGGAAGTGTATGTGTGTGGAGGTTTGGGGGAAGGGGGCTCTGTGGGGGCCTTGAAAAAAGTTCTAAGATAATCAAAGAATGTGAAAATTACATCTCTAAAATTTTATCAAAACATACTGATTTAATAAACACTTACTGAACAGCTATCATGTGTCATTTATCACCTAGCAAAGTACTCAAAACATAAAAAGAAAACCTGTTACTATGAAAGTATGCTTTTTAAAAGTGATAATAGAAAGCACCTTAAGTGTTTTTCACTACCTTGATAATTTTAGATAACAAAACCTTAGAAAATTTCAGCGTATTTTAGAATTCATGCTTATATTCGCTGGAAGTCAAATGGCTGGCTACAATGTTCATCTTCTTTTTAGACGTTTAAGTTAATAAAAACCAAGAATGAGAAAACAAAATCTCTTCTGTCAAGAAGATAATATATTCCATTACATAATAAGAGCAGAATGTTATTATTTTTGAACCTCCTATTCAAAGATAGTATGTCAAAGAAATATTTCATTCTACTTCACAGCCTTTCATAACATATGCTTGAATTAAAATGCAAAACTAAGCACAATTTTCTTCAAACAAGACCACATGTGTCTTGCTTATTTTTTAGGGTGAATTTTGTAGTGAGAGTTTTAAAATGATACCATCATGGCACTCATCCCCCACCAATTAATTTTCTTATTGATATCAGGAATCCAAAATATCTGCATCATATATATCCCGTCAATAGTACAATCCAAAGCAAGCATTTATTAAGATGGAAGTTTTAACGCAGGGAACACAGAAAACCACTAAGATTGTGATGTTTAAGTTGATTAAGAACTGTTTGGGTTGTTATTTGATATGGATAAACTATAGTTACCCTACGACTATCGTTTATAATTTACTTTAGAGCAATATATTCTTTTTCAAAGGAAATTTCCCATGGAACCCTAGTATATAAAATATATGAAAGAAACAAAAGAAGGGTCAAGAGGACTAAGAGTCCCCTCATCTGATTGCTCCCTCACTCATGTTCACTGCCTCCTCTCTACTTCCAGCTCGGTTAAATCCTACCTGCCTTCAACAGCCCTGAAGAAACCGAGTCCACTATTAAACAGTGGCTGCCTTGACAATCTTTGGCCACAATTTAAAACCTTGTTTTAAGCAATTAGAAAGAACTCAAATACCCTGATTTCCTTTCCTTTGGATAAATATACAGTAGTGGGATTGCTGGATCATATGATATTTCTATTTTTGTTTTTTTTAGGAACCACCTTACTGTTCTCCATAGTGGCTGAGCTAATTTACATTTACACCAACAATACACAAAGGTTCTCCTTTCTCCACATCCTTGCTAGCATTCATTATTGCCTTTCTTTTGGATAAAAGTCATTTCAACTGAGGTAAAGTGGTATCTCATTGTATTTGATTTGCATTTCTCTGATGATTAATGTTGTTGAGTATTTTTTCATACCTGTTGGCTATTTGTATGTTTTCTATTGTGAAATGCCTATTCAGGTCTTTTGCCCATTTTAAAAATCAGATTATTTTTTTCTTGAGTTGTTTGAGCTTATATATTCTGGTTATTAAGCCCTTGTCAGATGGGTAGTTTGAAAATATCTTCTCCCATTCTGTGGGTTGTCTCTTCACTTTACTGACAGTTTTCTTTGCTGTGCAGTATCTTTTTAACTTGATTTTATTCCATTTGTTCATTTTTGCTTGGTTGTCTGTGCTTTTGAAGTCTTAAGCAAAAAGTTTTGCCCAGACCAATGTCCTAGAGTGTTTCTTCAATGTTTTTTTCTACTAGCGTCATAGTTTCAAGTCTTAGATTTAGGTTTTTTTTTTTAAAGACAGAGTCTTGCTTTGTCACCAGGCACCAGGCTGGAGTACAGTCGTGCCATCTAGGCTCACTGCAACCTCCACCTCCCAGGTTCAAGCAATTCTCCAGCCTCAGCCTCCCAAGTAGCTGGGACTAGAGGTGTGTGCTACCACGCGCAGCTAATTTTTGTATTCGTAGAGACGAGGTTTCACTATGTTGGCCACAATGGTCTCAATCTCTTGACGTCGTGATCCGCCTGCCTTGGCCTTCCACCATTCCCAGCCGATTTAAGTCTTTAATCCATTATGATTTGATTTTTGCTTATGGTGAGAGTAGGGATCTGGTTTCATTCTTCTATATATGAATATCCATTTTTCCCAGGACCATTTATTGGAGACACTATTATTTCTCTAATGTATGTTTCTGGCATCTATGTCAAAAATGAGTTGACTGTAAATATAGAGATTTATTTCTGGATTCTCCATTCTGTTCCATTGGTCTGTTTGTTTTTACGTCAGTACTATGCTGTTTTGTTTACTATGGCTTTGTACTATAATCTGAAGTTAGGTAGTCTGATGCTTCCAGCTTTCTTCTTTTGCTCAAGATAGCTTTGGTTTTTCTGGGACTTCTGTGATTCCATATAAATTTTATAATTATTTTTTCTATTTATGTGAAGGATGTCCTTGTTATTTTAAGAGATTTCATTATATCTGTAGATTGCTTTGGGTGGTATTGTCATTTTAACAATATCAATTCTTCTAATCCATAAACATGGAGTATCTTTCCATCTTTTTGTGTCCTCTTCAATTTCTTTTATCAATGTTTTATAGTTTTCACTGTAGAGATCTTTCATTCTTTGGTTAAGTTTATTCCTAGGTATTTTATTGCCTTTGTAGCTATTTTAATCGGGATTACTTTCTTGGTTTTCTTTTCAGATTGTTTGCTGTTGAGGCCAGGTGCAGTGGCTCGTGCCTGTAATCCCAGCACTTTGGGAGACTGAGGCCGGCAGATTACTTGAGCTTAGGAGTTTGAGACCAGCCTGGGCAACATGGCAAAATGCCATCTCCACAAAAAATACAAAAAATTAGCCAGGTGCCTGTAGTCCTAGCTACTAGGGAGGCTGAGATGGTGGGACATCTTGAGCCCAGAAGGCAAAGGCTGGAGTGAGTGAGACGGTGCCACTGCACTCCAGCCTGGGTGACAGAGCCAGGCCCTGTCTCAAAAAAGAAGAAAAAGGAAAAAAAAAAACACGACTGTTTGTGGTTGACATATAGAAATAGCAGCATTTTTGTATATTTTGTATCCTGCAACTTTACTGAATTTGTTTATTAGTTTTAGTAGTTTTTTGGTAGAGTCTAGGCTTTTCTAAATATAAGATTACATCCTCTGTAAACAAGAATAATTTGACTCTTCCTTTCCAATTTGGATGTTCTTTATTCCTTTCTCTTGTTTAATTGCTCTGGCTAGGACTTCTATTTTACTCAACTATGTTGAATAAAAGTGGTAAAAGGGGACATCTTTGTTTTGTTCCAGATCTTAGAGGAAAGACTTGCAGTTTTTCCCCTGTTCAGTATGAGTCTAGCTGTGGGTTTGTTATATATGGCAAAGCTAAGAGAGAATTCTCAGTTTTCATTCACCTTTAAAAGTGATTTAATTATAAGCACACTGAGCTTATTTTATAATTGTATGTTCAGTCTAACACAACACAAAGTTGTTAAAGTCTTTATATATTCTTTTGATTCTGCTTAAAAACAGACACGGACACTAAATGACAAACCAGTTTACCATGTCATGAGAAAAATACTTAAAGTCAAGAAGTAGCTCTTTTGTGACACTATGGACAATAGGTCAAGACTGTTTACTTGATGACCTGGTGTTAGCCACACAAGAAAAGCCAGTGATAAAAGCAAAAAGGTGCTACGCTGGCTTGCTACAGTAATTCAGAAGTCAATTAGCGTTAGACTTCTACTCTAGGCAGACTACTACTATATGAGAAGCTGAGGGTCAGAAAACAGATGAAAAAAATTTCTTCACTTAGAATGGCAGAACTAATTTTTAGCCAGTGAAGGAACTCTGGGAAGCTAAAGATATATCACATTCTAGGATACTACTGCCCAGTAGAAATATCATGAGACATATGTAATTTTAAATTTTCTAGTAGACATATTAAGAGAAGTAAAAATAAATAGGTAAAATTAATTTAATCGCATATTTTATGTAACTCAACATATTCAAAATACTACCCTTTTGGAAATTTTTATTTATTTATTTATTGACAAAGTCTCGCTCTGTTGCCCAGGCTGGAGCGCAGTGGTATGATCTTGACTCACTGTAACCTCCACCTCCTGGGTTCAAGTGATCCTCCTAACTCAGCCTCCTGAGTGGCTAGGATTACAGGTGTGTACCACCATGCCCAGCTAATTTTTGTATTTTTAGTAGATGTGGGGTTTCACCATGTTAATCAGGTTAGTCTTGAACTCCTCACCCTAAGTGATCCAACTGCCTTGGCCTCCCAAAATGCTGAGATTATAGGCATGAGCCACTGTGCCTGGCCTCAAAATACTGTCACTTCAACATGTAATCAATATAAAATTATTAATGAGATATTTTAATTTTCCCTAAGTCTGTGAAATTCGGTGTGTAGTTTTCACGTTACATACATCTCATTTCAGACCAGTTATATTTCAAAGGCTCACTAGTCACAGCTGGTTTGAAAAACAGGAGTGGCCCAGCATTGTGGCTCACACCTGTAATCCCAGCACTTTGGGAGGCTGAGGCAGGTGGATCACCTGAGGTCAGGAGTTCGAAACCAGCCTGGCCAACATGGTGAAACTCTGTCTCTACTCAAAATACAAAAATTAGCCAGGTGCGATGGCACGCACCTGTAATCCCAGCTACTCGGGAAGCTGAGGCAGGAGAATCACTTGAACCTGGGAGAAAGAGGTTGCAGTGAGCCAAGATCACACCACTGCACTCTAGCCTGGGTGACGGAGTGAGACTCCATCTCAAAAAGAAAAACAAAAAAAAAAAAGAAAAGAAAAAGAAACAAAACTGAGGAGCCACTTAGTAGGGGAAAAATAACAATATGGGTAACAGTCTTAGCAAAATGAGTAGCTGAAATGAAGAATTGAAAACAATTCTAAAATATTCTCAGTGGTCTTACTACTAAGAAGAGGAGACTGAGAAAAAAGATATACCTAAGTTCAAAATAGTCTTTAGGGTGATATATACCAAAATCTGTAATGGGAAAGCTGATAATTTAAAAAAATGTTCAAAAGCACTGGCAAATTTTTTACAAAAATAGACGTGTTAGCAAAAATGGCAGAAGCATTTCCTTCCCCCCCCCAAAAAAACCCATGTTGAAAAATAAGGCCTCTGTTCACCAGCATGCCTTAGACCAGTCCCATAATTTTCTGACGCTTTTGTAATATTTCTTGTCCTTCCTATAGAAGATTATTTTTACTCAGCTACTTTCTTTAGGAAAATCTGGATTGACAATACATGGCCCCCCAAGTATATTTCAATAAGTAATCATGTTGTGTTTATCTATTTCCTGAAGATATACTCTGAAACTTTCACTCTTTCTTAAAAAGGACTGAAATTAATTAACCAAAAAACAAACTCAATTATCTAAGTTGGTGGTTAGTTCTTTGGTTTTTATTTTTTTTCTCCTTTCTGCTTTCAAACACATAGCCATTTCACAGATCATCATCACCTCCAATAGAAGATAGCAGGTATAGGGGGAAAAGGAGATTAGTTATAGCATTTTAGGGAAAGTTTGGTAGAAAAGTAGTGTTTAACTATGGTATAATCTTTTTATTTATTTATTTATTTTTTTGAGATGGAGTTTTGCTCTTTTGGCCCAGGCTCGAATGCAATGGCCTGATCTTGGTTCGCCGCAACCTCCGCCTCCTGGGTTCAAGCGATTCTCCTGACTCAGCATCCTGGGTAGCTGGGATTACAGGCATGCTCCACCACACCCAGCTAATTTTGTATTTTAGTAGAGACGGGGTTTCTCCATATTGGTCAGGCTGGTCTCCAATTCCTGACCTCAACTGATCTGCCTGCCTCCCAAGGTGCTGGGATTAAAGGCATGAGCCACCACGCCCGGCCTAACTATGGTATAATCTTACATACTTTATAATTGAAAATATTTTTAAAGAAAGTTTTTCTATGTATACTATTATAAAATATCAGTAATTGGACCAAGTGTGGTGGCTTATGCCTGTAATCCCAGCACTTTGGGAGGCCAAGGCAGGTTGATCACCTGAGGTCAGGAGTTCAAGACCAGCCTAGCCAACATAGTGAAACTGTGTCTCTACTACAAATACAAAAATAAATAAATAAATAAAAAATTAACTGGACTTGGTGGTGGATGCCTGTAATCCCAGCTACGCAGGAGACTGAGGCAGGAGAATCGCTTGAACCAAGGAGGCAGAAGTTGCAGTGTGCCGAGATCATGCCACTGCACTCCAGCTTGGTCAACAAGAGTGAAACTTTGTCTCAAAAAAAAAAAAAGTCACTAACTGGACTTACATGGTTAACATGAATTGCATCTTTCTTTATATGAAAACAAGTTCACCATGTTAACTTTACCTTTTCCTGTTAGTTCCGAGCCCGGGGTGGTTGGTAAAACTGCTGGGTTGGCCGAGTGGATCGTCTTGGCTGGCCATCACCTCCCCTACGGAACTCCAGAGTCTGGTCGTATGTGCCTTCTTCCTCCTATTTGTAAGAGTAGTGATTTTACATGTTCAAAATGGCTCCAAGTTTCTTAAGTAAATTATATTTTATGGTCCCCATTTTAATACACTCTCTTAAGCTGCCCTGGAATTCACATATGTCAACTTTTACAACACAGGAAGGCAAGGGGAAGAAAAAAAAGAAAAAGAAAAAGGTAGGGATACTGTTAAAAGTCTTTTGATCCTTGGTAATAAAAAAAATGTCATTTATAGTGGCAAGATTAGAAATGAATTTTATTCTAGAAAAGGAAACTATTTCCGAATAATAGCATGGTCATCTCATCAAATGACTTGACATAATCTGGTAAAAACATACAGAAAAGCAAGCATTATAATAACATTTTTCTTGAATATTTGGGCTTGTAAATGTTTCTAGGTATTTATCATGGAAAAGGGTTTTGGTAGAATAAAGAAAATGGATTGAAGAACCAAAGAATGTTCACCAGCTGTCTGTCCTCATCTGATGAAATCGTCAACATTGTTAAGAAACTTACATCTAGAGACAGAAAAAAATAATGGTTTGGAATAGGGGAGGAATACAATTTACATATAAAGAAAGCTTCATGCAAGATATAGAGATCACCACAGTAAGACTCAAACTATTTTATTTTTATTTGCTTTCTTACTGAGTGGGTATATCTACCAGCTCAAGGAATAGCATAGGGAAATTAGGATAAGCAGATTAAATAGCAGAAACAGTACAGTTAATTATACTATTTGAAAAGGACTTAGAAGCAACGAAATGTAGCCAAAGCCACACTGGTTTCTTACTGAGTGCTGCCACCCTGTTATTTTAGTTTTTGAATTAATACAGCTATGAAATATATGCCCTATTAAAGAGATAAAAATTAGCTCTCAGTTTTCTTTATGAAAAAGAAAGCATCAATTTCACTAAGTAGAGAGTTTAAATTCCAAGTGAATTATCAGAACACAATAATTCGCATGATTTTGGAAATTAATCCGATTTTTTTCTCTTCCTTAATCTTTGAATCTTCTTTCTCAAAATATTGCTTTCCTTTGATCTTATTAATAACATAGAAAAGTAAATGAAAAGACTGAGTTATACTTTAAATTTTTATAGACCTGATTACTAAAATTTTACCTAATGGAAACAAAGATGCTAAGATATTTGGTAAAATCCTATTATTTAGCAATGATATTTAACATTTGGCATGAATATAATTCTCATTTTTAGACATCCTCCACAGTATTCTTTAAAAAACAGAAGTATTATTTCCACTTTATATAAAGAATACTGAATCCTGGGAAAGCTATGTGACTTCGCGCTAATACTTCTAAGACATATTTGAGTTTTAATGATCATACTGAGGGGCCTATCATCACTGAAATAAGAGAATGCAGAAATCTGACAATATATCTGGTATAATTAAATAAATATCTTCCAGAGATAAACTTTCAGACAAGTTCTCCTTTCTCTATATCCCCTTCATTAACAATCAATCTCAAAATGGTTAGAAGCATCAGATATTATAGCTGTAATTTAGCAAAGCAATTAAAATGCAGGAAGAAAAACATAAAAGTATTCAGTAAAGAAGTTTTTTTTATTATTCTGGTCAGTGTTCTGAATGATGATTGTCAAGTATTATAGCTAAATGTGAAAAGTAGCTATTTTAAGACAAATAACATTTGAAACTCTACATATTAACTGAAAACTATGAAAATATATTTAGTATTATAGGAGATGAAATATTTATTTCAGGAATTAGAATGGAATACTATTTTTCTCCACACGGCTGGAGAACATCTAAAAATCTGTATTTTATCAATAAAATACACAGAGGTAGGACACTATTTATTTGCTGAGAGTGAGCTGAATTTACATAATAAAAATGACAATGCTATTTGAAAATCTGTCTCTGTCCACTGTGTTTAAAAAAATCCATGAACTGAACTAACCAGAGGCAAGTAAATGGTTTTATAGAGATAACCAGCCATGAGATTTCTTTCATATAACTTGATGTCTTTAATCTGTCTATATAAAGTAGAAGCCAAGAAAAAAAAAAAAAAAGGATACTGACAGTTTGGTTTTCAGTTACAGTATTGTTAGAGGCACAATCTGTGCTTTTTAACTTCTAAATATTCCTCCTGCAGAGCTGTGGTGAGCAAATTTACCCACAACAATTACTTTCTGTAGTCTATGGCTAGTAACTTTTAGCACAGAATGAGTACTTCTTTCCTCTTTATAGAACACATAGCTTGATTTAATAGATCAGTTTATTTTCAGTCATCTTTGAATGAAATTTTACTTTATTCCTCTTCTAGACTATCTTCTTCCTCAGTACTCTATAACAGATTTACAACTCAAAAAAATAATTTTAATTTCATAGTTCACATTTTTAAAAAATCTGACACTATATTATAGCTGGCACCGTTCTGGAAGGCTATCTAATCCATCCTTCCAGATTCAACAGATGAATGTATAAACCAAGAGAGGTGAAGTGACTTTCCCGAGTCATAGAGCTCATTAGAAGAGTCCAAACCAGGGTCATTTTCTTTCTATCTCACAGGCAAGGTTCTTGGCAAGATCTGCAACAATTTTCATAAAAGGTAACTGTCCAATGTCATCTTCACCTAAGCTTCTGAGATTTAGAATCATTTTATTTGGACTCAGAGTTTTGCACCAGAAAAAAATTTAAAATCTACCTGTAAGCTAAAATTGTCCCACCTTTCTGAAACAAACCAATGTTTTTCTTAAATGTATTTGATTGAAGTCTCATGTTTCCCTAAAATGTGTAAAACCAAGATGCACTCTGATCACCTTGGGCACACTGTTCTCAGGATCTCCTGAGGGCTTGTCATGGGCCATGGTCACTCATATTTGACTCAGAATAAATCTCCTCAAATATTAAAAAAAAAAAAAAAAAGACTTTTGCTCACCTCAGCCATGTTATCAGACAGGTTTTATAAAATAAATAACTAATATTCAAAATGAGCTCTCTTTTATACTTATATTTACTAGTTTATTGCTCCTTCTTAATGAAATGATACAAAATGCAATAACCATCGACACCAAGCATTAATGCAGTGGTATTCTGAAAACAACAAAAGACAAAAACCAATGCAAAAAGGAGGTACACAACATCATCTATAATGTGTGTTTGACAAGTCACAACTGCATTTTTCCTGCATATCATCTTCAATCTCTCATTACTGCATACTGTAACTGGCAGACAAACTACATATTCACCATTTATAAATGAGCCACGTTATAAAAGTTCATCATAAATTAGTCACTTGGAACTTGGAACATACTTCAGTAGGCGGTATGAAACACACTTAAATAGAAGTCAGGTTCTCGGTTCCACAAATACTAAGGTGTAATGCAGCTAAGCATACAAACCAGTCCACTAAGGAAGGAGTACTCAAGTGTGAGCTATTCTGCCTCCTGGGGGCATTAGGCAATGCCTGGAGGCAGTTGTTATTCTCTCCATTGGTAGAGGCCAATGATGCTGCTAAACATCCTACAATGCACAGGACAGCCCACACAATGAAAAATTATTCAATCCTAATGCCAACAGTGCTGAACAGTTCAGAAAACCCTAGGCTAGGAAAATGACATTTCCTACTCCTAAGTATCAGAGCAGTCTGGAAAAGAATTCTAAACTTCAGGAAGTTTGGGTTTGGAAGTTTGAGACATTTCTTCCTCTGCTTCTACCCCTAAGATATAAATGCGGACCCAACTCTCTATGGAAATTTGTGGGGGTGTCTATTTGCTGAGAATACTTAAATATTTATCTCTGCTCCAGCTATATGTTCATTTTTACTTAACCTAATGAATCACCTTCTTATTTTATTTTTTGATGTGGAGTCTTTCTCTGTCACCCAGGCTGGAGTGCAATGGTGCTATCTCAGCTCAAGGCAACCTCCACCTCATGAGTTCAAGCGATTCTCCCCCATCAGCCTCCCAAGTAGCTAGGATTACAGGCACCAGCCATCATGCCCAGCTAATTTTTGTATTTCTGTAGAGATGGGGTTTCACCATGTTGGCCAGGCTGGTCTTGAACTCCTGACCTCAGATGATCCACTCACCTTGGCCTCCCAAAGTGCTGGGAGTGAGCCACTGCACCTGGACTGCCTTATCTTATATTACCATTCCTTCAGCATTATCCCAAGTCATAACTCTGGGAAGAGCTAATGGCTGATTATTTGGTTGGTGGAGGTGGGACATAGGAATGGCAATTATTCTGTTCATTGAAAAAAAAACTTAGAAAAACTTAATACTGTCATCTAATAACTATGCTACGTGTAATTTAATAAAATTTAATCATTTGTTTCTTTTAACAGAATTTGTTTAGTAGTCATAATACATAAGTCAGCATATGAAATTCAGTGTACTCTGCAATAGTCCTTGAAATTGAGAATATTTTGAACCAGGAAATGTTGATTCATACATGAACCACTTACTCTATGAATTTCCAAGGCTTTTGCTTGGGTGTTTAGCTTGTGTTTATGGAAATATAAACTAATTTTCACATAAAACCAAAGCAGTCATCATAATGACAAATCTGCTTTCCCAAAACATTATGTAATGGACTTTAGAGTAAAACTTAAAATATTTTTAAATGCAAGTCTAGTTTTAGATTAACTACACTAATATTCTTCTATATTAGAGTAACCGAAAATTGAAAGCTGAATCAGCTTATTTATTCATTTTTTTGAGACGGAGTCTTGTTCTGTTGCCCAGGTTGGAGTATGGTGGTATAATCTTGGCTCACTGCAACCTCCACCTCCCAGGTTCAAGCTATTCTCCTGCATCAGCCTCCCTTGTAGCTGGGATTACAGGCATGCAGCACCACACCCAGCTAATTTTTTTGTATTTTTAATAGAGATGGGGTTTTACCATGTTGGCCAGGCTGGTCTTGAACTCCTGATCTCAAGTGATCCGCCCACCTTGGCCTTCTAAAGTGCTGGGATTATAGGAAGGAGCCATCACGCCCAGCTCAGCTCTTATTTTCTCTGAAG